CCCCCCGTTCCAATTTGTCGATGCGATCAAGTTGGCGAGCGATCGTCTTTCGTGCTCGGCAACGACGCACACAAATTAATGGTTCTTCAAGCACATCCAGTAGTCACGCACTTCGGACTATCCAGCTTCGGCGTGCTGCACGCACTGCACAACTTCAGTCAGTTGAAGAGTGACGACTTTCCTGCATTAGTGAAGGGACCTCTGCCGTCCCGACATCGCCGCACAAAATGCGACGATGTCAAGAAAAGTATGCAAGTGGGGCGGGGTCAACGGTAAACCCCCGCCCCCGACATAGTATAACTTTTTCGCGTGGTGGCACGTGGTAATCGTGGCTATCGATGGCTGCTGAATCTTACATAAAGTCCACTTGAGACGTGGTCTATGCCAGTGCGTTGGGACTTATTCAGTGACACTTTTAGTTGCTGTGAATTGCCGTGTTCCATGAGCCATGCATCGCTTTAATGTTGAGAGGTCTAGTTGACTTGCACGGGAGGAAGTGGATCATATTGTGCACATCATTTCCATCCACTCTGCAGAGGAGATGCATGCGACAAGGCAAAGATCATGACTTCTTCTGGTACGGTCGATGTCCAAGAGTACGCAAGATGTATAGCTCGTTGAAGGAAACGACGCTGTACACGGAAGCCGGTCCATGTTGAGGCAGGTTCATCGTTCCTTAGCCTACGCCCCAACATTGTGATAGCGGGGTCTACTTTCGGAGACTCCATGTGATGGACTTTGGGACAGTCCAGCTCTTTTGCGTCGTGAATGGGTGCCAGTCTCGGATCCCAGTTCAACTTATCGCTGGGGGAATAGAAGCTTCCTTCCATCAGTTTTCACTGATACGGCGGTTATAATGACTCGACACCTTTTGCACCTACGCCACCAGTTCCCATGTTGTAATACGTTCTTCTGCACCAACACAAGTACCATGACGTGACGGAGCGGTGGTACACGTTGAATTTCAGCCATTCATCCCCACAGCAGACATAAACTGACGACGCATTTAGCCGTTGAATCGTTGGGAATTTGTTTGACAAACTCACGTGCCTTGTGTCTATCCAAACACACGCACAGATGTGGGACGTGCCACGTTCCCCCTCCATACCATCTATTTCTATTGTTTTGGCGGCGGACGCCATGATGCATTGTTCAAGCGCCCGCTCGCCCTCCGATATCTGACGTGGACATTTGAGTTGGGTGCAGCTCCTTCGCATCGCAACCTTTCACAGAGCGTTTCGAGCCAATCAAAACCGTCGAAGTCGAAAGCACCACGAACACTGCTTAAATACTGTGTATTGTAAGATGATTTAGTGTGGTTGTTCTTCCTCCACACCAAAATGCGAGCGACAGTGAGAGCGGAGAAAAGAAGCAGTGCCATGACAATCCTTTCCACAGCACCAATGTGCGCATTTGCCACTGCGTCGACGTGTGGCACCCGTCTAGGGTATTAGTCTTAAACACTATTTGATCTTGTTCACACTAATTCATGATTTGAAGTTGTCCAATGAGGTTGCAGCAGCACTTTGTGGAATAATCGGCGAGTGGATGCAGTATTCCACAGTGTTGAGCCGACATGACGCGCGAGGAAGGGGCGGCGGATTCAGCACTCTAGCGACGTCGATCATGGCAATACCCATCAAGGCCAAAAAGCAAACCAAGAGCCAGCGAAAGGCGGCTGCCGCGGCTGCAAGAGCCACGACAAACCGGGTCCAGACCATCCAATGGGTCGAAGAAATGTTGGGCGAACATGTGTGGGAGCTGTGCTTTGAGTACCTCGACGTGCGCTCGCTCTGCCAGAGCAAACTTGTATGCCGGCACTTTCAACGCCTCGCGATGCTTCCTCTGCCATGGATGCACCAGTATGCATCGGTGTGGCTGCCACCAAGGGTATCGCTCCCTGATGCGTACTACCGGCACAGCTCGTGGATACAGCTCTGGCGCATGCATGAGAGCCGCATGGCCATCGACGTCAAGCTGTCTACTCGCGCTGACGTTACGATCGACACGGATACCCGCATCATCACAGTCCTCAACAACTCGATGCTGAGGAACCTGGAGCACGGCGCGGTGGAATCGATCCGGTCACTTCAGCCGCTTCCCCCGATCCCGTGTGCGACAGCCCTACACCGCTACGTCATGTACTTTGAAGTGACGGCATCCTTGACAGCCACTGCCATCAGTTTGGGCATGGTCCACCTGCCTGATCACACCATGTGTCCCTACGGGTTCGGGTCGGATGCGCATGTGGGATGGCACCCGGTGTCGTTTGGCTACCACTCACATCCCCACCACACGCCGAGTCCTGGTTCATTTCCGCTTATATTCCACAATGGCATGGACGTCTTGACGATGCCGTTGATGGACGCCACCGCGACGGCCGACATCCCCCGCTCTTCCACCGACGTGTTTGGATGTGGTTACGACCAAGACCATCATCGAATCTTTTTCACGCACAATGGCACGCTCCTCGGCGTTGTGCCGTACGACATCCCGCCGGGCAACTATTGCGCCGCGTTCTCGGTCGACACCTTGTATGCGTCGGTGACTGTCAATTGGGGCCAGCTGCCGTTTGCGTATGCGATCGAGGCCCACATCGCCAACCATCCGGCCATGGCTGCGCTGCATGCATGAGTGTCGGTGTCCCACGATATGCATCTCGTAGTATGGACCGATCTCCTTGTCCAAAGTCGTCATGCTGTAGAAAGAGCATGCAGTGGCTGAACGTGTTGCAATCCGTTCCATGGCGATCCAGGGCAGCAGGTCCACACGGTGCGGTGTCGGACAAAGTGATTCTTGCGAATAAAATAATAAATGGCGGACTTTATGCTTCGATGGCAAGGGCTTCGAGCTGGACGCTTCGCCGACCGGTGAAGGCCGAATCGAGCATGTCGTCCTCATCGACCAAAAACGACGGCGTCGAGTCACACACATAACTGAACCGACCAAATTCCCCCGCGACGTCCGGGTTTGTGATGGGGTTCGGCTTGGGCTTGCCCAGGGTTTCCATCGGCCTCCATCCAAAGATGCTGAACGTCGACGACGGCGGTGGCGTCTTGCTCATGACGATGCGACCCAGGTCCACGTTGGTGCGTCGCGACAGGTCCTTGGTCGTGTCGGGCTTCCACGGCGGCAGCACCTTCTTCTTCAGCACTTGGTCCCACGCGATGCCTTTGAAGAACGGATGCGTCAAGATGTCGCTCGCGTGGTGCGCGCCTACATAGGCACCACGTGAGAAACGAGGGCAAGATCGCAATCGTCCCACCGAGGCGCTTGTTCGGATCCTTTTCCAAGAGCCCGACAATCAACGACTTGGCTTCGTGGGCAATGGGAATTCTCCCGGGGAATTTCACCGGGTCCTTGTCGATCAAGCGATACAGCACCGACACGTTCGGGTGGTGGAATGGACGGCGGGCAAACATCATTTCGTAGATCAAGATGCCAAGGCACCACCAGTCCTACAACGACCGCATCAGCACGATTGGCATCGTCACCATGCATGGGTGCAGATTCGTACCACAGCCTTGCCGTACTCGCGGCTGCGTTTGGGCTTGAGCAGCTCGGGGGCCGTGTAGGCAGGGGACCCCGCCATCGTCCGCGCGCCTTCGAGCGATCGCACGTTGGTTTTGCTCAGGCCAAAATCGACCAACGCAATATTGCCGTCCTTGTCGAGCATGATGTTGTCGGGTTTCAAGTCTCGGTAAACAATATCGCACGCGTGCAAATGGCACAGTGCCAAGACCAACTGCGCAGCGTAAAACTTGATGCGCGGCATGTCAATGGGCAGCTTGATGCGCTGGTCACCGTCCTCGGAAAACTTGTTCATGTGCGTGTAGAGTGAACCGCCGGGGTAAAACTCCATCCCGAGGAACACGCGCGACTGGGACTGGAACGAAAACCTACCGAATTGCACGACTCGTCAGACCGCGCCTCGTCCCGCACTCATGCCAAACGACATGGACACCCATCGCGCCCAGGGTCACACACACGAGAAAGAATTGCATGGACGAGAGCTCCCGTCGCGTCGACACTGGCGACATACCGAAGAGGGGCAATAAAGGGATGGTACACGTCGCGTAAGATGCGCATCTCCGTGCGCGTGCGGATTTTATCATAGCTCGACATGGAGCTCTTGTCCAGGATCTTGATGGCGAAGATTTCACCGGTGGTTTTGCGCTCGGAGAGCACGACCTGGCCACGTGTCAGCTCCGTCGACAACCCCATCGGTCATACCGTGCCAAACGTGCCTTGCCCAAGCACCTTTTTGACGGCAAAGTGCTGCATTGACAGCGACAGGACGCGCTTGGACGCCGTGGCTTTTAGGTTCGACTTGAGGCGCGCCATGCGCTCTTCCGCATCAGACGATTGAAATGCCGCCTACACAACAAGAAGAGTTCGGGCAACTCGACACACGACCATGCTCTACCGGGTCGACTTCCATGTACAGCTTCAAACTGAGCACGCGACCACCGGGACTGAGCGACACTTCGTCTTTCCACTCACAGCTGTACGTCGTTTTCGTCGATTTGTTGGTGAGTTTCCCAGTTCCGCTCACGAGCAGCACGTTCGGTCGAGAGCTGAGAGACACGCGGTGCAGCGACATGTCGGACAATGCCACAAACTGACTGAGCGAGAACAACACGTCGACGAGGCCTTCGCGGCCATAGTACACGGCGGACGGAAGCGCGGGAATGGCAAAGTGGATCGACACGACGATGTCCAGAGCGCAGAGAGGAAAGAGCGCGAGGAGCTCGTTGCAGCACACCGTCGGGTGCTGCATCTTGGCCTCGTAATTGGTCATGACGTTCATCCAGAGGTGGTAAAAGTGCGACGTTGTGGTCACGTTGCGATTTTTCCACTCGACGGACGAGCGGATCGACGGCATCGCGGCGTGGTTTCCACTACTGAAACTCGGGTTGCAGTGGCTCATGGACAGTCGGCTGGGAACAAAGTTGCCGAGCGAGTGGCGCATCATGTTGGACAGGTTTGGGGTGGGATTCATGTGGCCGTTGAAGCTCAAGCTCAGATGCTGGTTCGACGACAGCGACAAGTTCGCAAAGGACGAGTTCAAATGCCGGCTGTCTGTAGACGACGACAAGTTCCCGCCTTCCAGGATGATGTCGGGCAGTTGCGCGGAAGCCGCGAGCGACATCTGAAAGTATGCGATTTGGACCGCCTTTTCGATCATGCGGATCCACAGCTCTGTCTCGATCGGAGTCTTTGTGTACATGCAAAATACCTTGTCAATCGTGGTCGTCACGACAAATCCGTTGCTGCGAGAGGGGTCTTTTTTGGCGCCGGTCACGGTGACCCGGCCCTTGAACTTTTCAAAATCTGACATCGCGTGCTCCTTGGACGAGTAATACGTAAAGCACGTGCCCGTAAGAATGCCGTAGCGGTTGCGCCAGTTGCGCACGACGTGGCCTTGCTTCCACACGTACCCTTCCCAGTCTGTTTCAAACAAGTCCTCAAACGGGTGCAACGCGAGGGAAATGCTGTCGGTGCCGGCCATCTCGAGCTCGCTCGTACTTCCGCGCGACGTTGCCATCATTTGACTTGAGCTCATGCGGTACGAAGATGAGCTAGAGGCTTTTCCTACCATCTTGTCCGCGCGATCGATGGAGCGGTCGCCGGGTCGTGTGCGGGTCGTAGAGGGGAGACTGCGGCCGACGCAGCACCAAACCACTTGTGAAATATGGGGGTAATCGTCAGAAACATTCAGCACCGCCGGGATCAAATATATTATGCACACTGTACTCAGTATTTGTATTGATATTTCACCACTTCTATTCAATTTTCCTGATCTGGATAGAAAACCTCGAATTTCGATATATTCACTGCCACAGGTCTCGCCGCGGCTATGCCTCAACGCGGTGCCGCGGCATTTTGCAGTGGCGGCAGCGTTCCATCTGGCATTGCGCCGCTACCTATAGCTAGACTACTATGTCGCACGCATGTTGTTGCTCGGTGATCGCCGTTGGACGCGCGCTGTACCGATAACGTTGGGGAACCGCCGGAGGATCCGTGTGATATTCAGAGTGTTACTCGCATGTCGTCAAACCTTGGCCAAAACCGCCCAACCGCTCCATGGAACATCTTGCAAAAACTCAACTGTTTATGGGTGGGGGCACCGGCAGACCGTCTCGCGCGTCCCCAACGCCATCGCACTGGGTGGTCTTCAAGCATCCACAAATGGAACGGACGAGTTGTGTGGATAGAGTGCTACGCCTTGTCATCGAGACGTCGTCATTATTGTAGGATTTCTCCCATCGATTTCCAGCACTTTCGGATTAAATTTCGATTTACATAGATGAACCTGGCTGCGATATTATGTATAGAGTAGTAGTGGTACGCTTGCGAAATTCCGAAAAAGGAAAAAAATGGGCAAATCGTCGTGACATTTTGAACACATTGTTTTCCATAGGTTCTTGTGTACATGCGTTGGAAACCGAACGACCTCCGGAAGGACGGCGACGGCGGCCCCATTTCATTCGTGCTGCTCCAAGTGCGGTTCGCAACGGCAAGGTCTGTTGCTGGTGGTGCCGCGCATGCCCGTGCGCAAATTTCGCCGAGGAATCAGGTTTCCCAGGTTTTATCTCCACACCACGTCGCATCGACCTTTGGAGCTTATCAAATATTAAAGGTTTCGACGGCCGTGCCAAACAATTTGCGGCACCATGGCAGCAGCACCTGGTAATGTGATGCGATGGAAGAAGCTCGTGGTGCGCGACTTACCTCATGACGCGAGCTGCGAGGAAGTGCTGGCTGTATGTGGATTTCCTATTGTGTACACAGATTCCGCATTGCGAACGCCGATCTACCCCCCGACGTTCTTTCGATGGGAGGCAGGAAAACCTGCAAAAAATGGCCGGACGAGTGTGCCATCCCGCCTGACGTTGCAGTTCCGCAAGGACCCCGATCAGCTGGAAGACACACTTCGTTTGTTGCATGGCAAGGAAGTGACTTTAGCGAATGGATCCACGATCGTTCTCTCTGTGCACGTTGCGCCGAACCAGCGCCTTCCACGAGAAAAACCTCGGCGTCGCGATAACAAGTCCAACACGATTGCCAAGGATCCAGACTTCATTGCATTTCTGGAAGAGCTGAACGACCCTGACAAGAAATCCCTCGCTGTGAACAACCCGAACATCTTGGACGCTGGAGACGACAAGATCAAGGAAAAACCGGTATCGGCGCTCGTCAAGTTCCTTAACGAGCGACGAGCCGAACGGCGCGACAAAAACGGCAAGGTAGGCACCTTGCATGCCTTTGTCATTATGACTCATCTTTGTCTTGCAGGTTGGTCAACGCGGCACGGCGACAGGGTTTCCAGCCGAGACCCGCGGCAGCAAGAACAAAAAGGCCGACGGAAAGGCACTGTCCATTAACCATTTCGATGTGCCAACTCACGAAAACGCTGTAGAAATCCGGCAAAGAGAAGCGCAAGGATGACGGTCGTACTCCGAGGGAGCCCCGTACAGACAGCCTGCTTTGAGAACTTCCTAATGTCAATGTGCTCGTAGGGTCCAAAAAAGCAAAGGACAAACAGCAGCGAAATGCGCCGCGCAGCGCAGCCGTCACTCCAGCCTCCTCTCTACCGTACAGTGCTCCCAGTCCAGGAATTTTCAATGTCGCCGAAGGCGGGTACCTTCAACCGCCGCTCCCTCCCCCGCCATCGATGGAACCTGGCATGCTTCGCATCATGGCGAAAGGAGCCATGGCAACTCCGCTTCCAGCCGACATGATTCAGCCATCCATTGACGGCGGAGGCCGCGGACGCAACCGAGGAGGTGGAAGTAGAAGCCGAGGTGGGAAGAAAGCGGGAGGGCGATCGGAGGGAGCCGGTGGTCCTGAAGCAGCTTCGACCCCCGGGGGCGGTGGTCGTGGACAGCCGCGGGGCGGCAACAACCAGCGGAATTCGCAGCCGTCATCGAGCGGAGTGCGTCCGACGAAGCAAGTGGAAAGATATGTTGACTTCGTTGGTGTGTAGCAGGGCAAGAAGAACAAGGTCTTTGTCCCGAAACCATCCCATGGAGAGACGAATCCAACGGCCCCGCCACTCCCGACAGTACGTTCCACACCGCACATGAATGCATCCTTGATCGAGTGGACTGGAATAGGGCTAACACGAATCACGCTGTGGAAGATTGCCTCGTAGCGGTGCGAGCCCTGTGGGATGACGTGGCTGGATGCCAGGCCAGTTGTGATGCCGTCTCGACGATTCCGCGTGCTGTCGTTGAAGCTTATTGCCATGCCAAGACTCGGGACTTGGAACGGTCAGCGCAGACCTCACGGCATTCGACTTCAGGTCGCAGCAATAATTTGAACGACCTGTTGTTGGTGTCGACAGGATCATCGAGTTGGCGAGTCCCATTTGTCCTTTGTCGATTCAATACTCCGACAAATGAGCATTCCCCCATACCAAACGAACTGCCAGGTATCTCGGCAGTGCGGCAGCGTCCATGTATGCCCAACTTCGCCAAGTTGAACAACAAAACCAGCGCTCGCTCAGCGTTTCGTGTTTCCAGCTATGCCCAACACAAGGCACGGGCGGCTTGATACTAAACCGAGGACGACACCAACGATCCATGGCACACCCCAACCATGACGCTTCTGCTCGCTGTCGGCTAGACGACGAGGTGGTGTGTTGACCCGCGCGTCCATGCTGGAACGGCGGGGTCGGAGGAGGATGATGTCTTGTCAACTGTCAAGAGGGGATTTGAACATTTCTGCGTTTTATTCGACGCATACGAAAGTCAAGTTTCCCGTGCAACCATCGCAACGAAGTAAAAACCGTTTTAACCCATATGGCGAAACGATTGCCGCAGTCCTGCATTGATCCCATGGCCGCGTCCACCCGATCGCCGTCCTTTGATGGCGCAGGACGACTGAGTGCAGCGGAAGCACTTCGATTGTCCTCGTCCGACGACATGAACCCACCCATGAAGCCCAACGATGCGACGGCTTCGTCGCTTCTGTCTGTCGGGGCAGACTGCTTCAAGGTTGTCGTGGACACCGGTGTATCCGAAGTGGCCATGTTGCAACACTTGTACGGCACGATGGACTATTACGGTCACACGGTCACTGTCAAGATTATCACGGGCGCGACCCTCGTCGTTCTTTACCTATATGTAAGCGGCACGTCCGTGATCAACCTAGAAGCGTACGACCCTGTGGTGGTGGATCATGCCATTGCCGCCATCGCGCTGTCCGGGCCCGTCGGGTACGCGCTCCTTCTCAACATGTATTACTCGGACGTGGAAACTCCCGTGGGCCTCACGCTTCTCACCCTGCGCATCTCGTGCTGCTGCATCATCGGCGCTGCCTTGACCGTTTTCCTCGCCGAGTGCTTCACGAGGCGACTAGTCATCTCCCTTGTGCTCATGGGTTATGGTGCGTGGGGTATCGGGTATGCTTGGTCCGTGCCGCTCTGGCGATGGTACATGTACGAAGTCCGCCGCCACGGCCTCGTTGCGTTTTTGCCTGCCGGGCTCCAGGACACCCTGCTTCGCATGACCCTGCTGGAATGGCTCACCGACACGACGTTTGCTGACAAGATGCGCGACTACTTTCCATTCTTCCTGCCGCTGGACAACTCGGAGCAGCAGCGAGTGGTGCACAGCCTTCCGACGGACACCCAGACCATGATGAAGAAGCCGGGGCTTGTACATTTGCTGCCGTCGACCCTGCAGGAAGTGCTTCTGCCATCTCCGGAATACTTTTCGGACTCGACCGATGTCGTGACGTCAATGCCTCCGTTGCCGGCAACGCCGTCGTTATCTCGGATCGGCGAGGACTCCAGAACAGCATCCACCTCCGCTGTACGTGCTGACGTGTGAAAACGCAGAACTCTTCGCTTGATCCATCCACTTTTGCACCTGTAGACCCAAGCCACGGCATCCATGGTCGGATTTGACTTTCACCGGATCGAGCCGTCGTCGGGTAGTGCCACGTCGTCGTCCTCGAATGTGTTAACTGCGATTCTCCAAGACAAGATTTCGAGGTAGCATTTCATCATACGCGCTGTGGCTTGGATTGACATTGTGGTCCGCAGTACGGTGGTGTCGCTCGTCCACATGCCGTCTCCCTCTGTGCTGAATCGAACAGCGGCAATCTCGAGCTTTCTCTTTGCCTTGCAGGTATGTTCACCCCATGCATCATCGCCATGATGATAGTCGATGGATGGGACGTAGTTGACTCAATCGTCGAAAGCACGCGTTCACTTTGTCCTCCTCCTTCGTGTCGTGTGCCTCGCCGTTCTCGGCACCGTTGCGACCACTGCAGTGTCGTTGCGAGTGATCCAGGTCCTGACGGCAATGCCGTCGTCTCGAAAGTACCTGGCACTTGTCCAAGAGCTGTGGATGCGGAGGCAGAATGGGCAGCGTCGTCTCACAGACGGTGGTGCGGCTAAGACTACTGCCGCGCTTGTCACGGCCACCAAGTATGGCGCCGCCGCGATGGCTGCGGCGTGGGTTTTGAAAAACCTACGAAAATGACCCGACATTTAAAAATGCTTTTTAAATATTTTGATTTTGGTTGATGACTGCATTCGCTTTCTGCTTTCAAATTTTTTAATTCGCTTGCATCGAATCCTGCATTTCAAATGATTAAAAACAACCGGCGATGGTAGTGGCACGTTCTAAGATGGATTTCGGAGTATCTTGAAGAGTCAACCCAAGAAATATAGTAACGTTAGTAGTAATACTAAACCCAGAATACTATCGAAAAGAGAGCTGCAATCCGAAAGCGTTCGTCGAAACAACCATGTCGGTGGCGGAAGTGTCGGCGGCGATCGGGAACTTGGGTAATGTAACCAATGAGATGAAGGACAAGGTGGGTCTGTTCGGGTCGCCCCTCGACACCCGTGCAAACCACGAGCTTGTGACGGAGCTCACAAAGCAAGGAAGGGATATCGTCCAAGCGGCCACGGCGAAACTGCAGTTGTTAGTGAACTCTGCATCTGGGGCCGACAAGAGCGCCGCCAGGAAGCTGAGCAAAGATTTTAAGGCACAACTGACGCTCTTCGAGCAAGTGTGTGCAAGAGCCGTCGCGTCGGAAAGCACCGCCGTTCAATCGATTCGATCCACGTCCGTGCGCCGGGACACTGAACGCGACCTTGCCAACTACAACGAGGACCAAATTTACACGCAAGCGAACGTCCAAGTGTACGATGAAGATGGTATGCTGTCACAATCTCCATGATGCGTGATTCGAGCGCGGTAGACTTGGCCCGTCGGGAGGAAGACATAATCAAGATTCATCACAAGCTCGGTGAAATCAAGGCAGCATTTCAAGAAGTCGATGGACTTGTGCAAGATCAAGAAGAAGTCATCGGTGCGTACAATATAATCGTGTTCACGTTCATCAAGGTATCGACCGAACATGGTAGTTGAAATCCACGACAACACCACTGCGGCCGCCGACGATGCGGCGGCGGCTCTAGGCCAGGTCCAGCAAGCCGACAAAAAGACAGGATACGCCACGTGCACATGTTGCTACCTGTGCGCGATCATGTAGCGAGCGTCGTATCTAGCACGTTAAGGTGGCCTTCGGCCTTGCCCGGAATCGATTGCATCATGGGAGGAGTTTCAAACGCACGAGAATTTCCACCAATCACTGCCATGCACTGGGTTATTCGAAAGAGCGGCAAACGCCGTTTCGGACGGCGATGGACGGGTCGGCGATGCTGCCTGGACATGGCGTTAGCGACACGTCCATGCGCAAGACGCTCCTGTCCAAGCAGCAGTTGCAGCATAATGGGAACAACCCGTCCATCGTCGACACGACGGTGCTTCCTGAACAAGCCAATTGTACGCCGTGGACCCCCAAGAGTCTCGGCCGCGCCAAAAGCGCAATCGTCTACCGGGTACGCACGACTTCCTCACACACTTGTTTCTGCCGTCCTGCAACGCTCGACGAGTTGCGAGTCATTGTGTTCCTTGCGGAAACACGTCGCTCATGGTGTGAGTTCTCTTGTCAGCAAACGCTCAACGACAACTTGATGTTCCTCGAGCGCAACATCTTCTTCTTCCACGAATGGCGCACTCGATTTGTCTCGTTGCAGGACGATCACATTCTCATCTACGCGACGCGCGAAAAGTGGGAGCAAGGAACAGCACCGGATCGAGTAGGAGATGTGGTTCCGCATACGTGTGATCATCGTTGCATGTAGATTGTCAAGTTGAACCCCATGATGCTACTCAGTGCAATTCGCGTTGACGTCCAAGACGAATCGTACGATGCGGATGGGAACGGACCCGTCGTGACTCGGCTTTTCCGCCGCAAGCTCCTCGAAACGGACCCACTCGATCAGGTACGGCATGCTGTCACAGTCGTTCTACGTCTCGAACGATTTCCAGTGGCTCAATGGCGAATTGCGGCAAGGCCTTGTCGTCGACGGCCGCGGAAGCAACACAGACACTACTGTCGCCAACAATCCCGAAGCCAGCGCCCGCGCCATCTTTGAGTTTGCCACGACCAACCAGCACACGTTCGAGCTGTGGTCCAAGTGCCTCCGGCGTGCGTTGCAGCGCCAGGTCCGACAGCGCCAGCACGAGAGTGTGACGTCAAACAACAACCAAGCGTCGTCGTCATCGTCGAGGTCGAAAAAGGCCAATGTTACAGCGCTGCATCCGTCACCGTCGTCGAGTTGGGTGTCCCCTGGCCAGGACAGCCGCGTCACCCTTCTTCAGAGCGAGATCTGGTGCACGCGACTCCTCCAAGACGACAAGGAGAAGGCCGAGTCGGAGCTGCGCCGCATCATTGCTATGGAGAGACTTGTTGCTCAAGTCACGGGGCCGGCCATGGCGCTGCTCGTGTACGAAAAAGTCAGCCGGGTGCACGAGTTGTTTGCCGCCAACAGCCGCCGTGAAATGAACACGAAGAACGCCCCATTGAGTCAATTCCAGTCGACATCGACTGGCGACGACGCCACGGCGCCAGCAGCTCCCCCAGTCGCCCTCTCGCCCGACGTCCTGCACTTTTTCGGTGATCACTTGAAACGAAAGTACGCCGTGTTTCTCATGCTGGCTCTCGCGCATGGCATCTCCGAAGACAGCATCCGCGATGCCCACGAACGCATGTGCCGCGAAAACGACGCGGTCGACGCGGGGGTCGGCGGAGGTGACGGTATTGTCGACGACCTTCGCGACATGTCCCATCTCGGCTTTCGAGATGCTGCCAGCATCGATCTGTACAACAAGTACAGGACAGCTGCTGCCAACTACTTCAAGATGAACTTTGGCGACCCGAGCGCCGCCGAGGAAGAGGACGCGATCATGCACCTTCCTGTCATGCTCCATGTCGCAATCGTCCGACAAGATGAAGATGAAGTCCGTGCCATGGCGCATATCCTTGACACGGTCAAGGAAAGACTGTTAAACCACGTCGAGCAAGGGAACAATGATGTCGATGAAGGGAGGAACCGCGAATGATGATGCGATCCAACGATTGCGTCCGCTGCAACGTCCGCCCTGCGAAATGCCTGTTATCGAGCCCGATTGCGAAGATGTAACCGCAATTGCGCGCACTTGGTTGACTTAATGTGACTTGTGAGGGGACATCATGCCTTGCAAAGACCTTCATGCATTGGAGGCTATTTCATCCAGCCATCTATGGATACGATGCACGGACGCTCGAAACTTGTCGTCACGAAGATATTGAACAGCAAGTGCATCGCAAGTCGAGGCAGTCTGGAATCTAGACGATGGCAAGTCGTTTGCTGCTGCTGAGGTCGCTTGACTGGGCAGGGACGGAAATGTCGCGTGGAAGTGATCGACCCATTCCATGAGCTCATCTTCTGCTGAAAATTGAATCCTACGGCGATTTCATCAGGTGAGAGTCCCATGAAGAGGGAACATTGCAGAGGACGTGGTTTCGATGCATCCTTCGAAGTAGATCTTCAAGAGCCGTCGTCGGTGTGAGATTTGTCGAGGCTGTGCAGTCTTCACCCCGCCAAGGAAGATACCTTCCTCGCGCAATGAAAGAGACATCGACTTCTTGAGCGCCATGAGTTTCTTCTTGCCGTCTCGACGGACTAGACGGACGCGGACGGACTGCATTTCGCGCGCGCAATTCGAAAATGCGTCGAATATATGATGGAATTCAACCAATCAATTTCGTTCATTGAACAATTCACATCGGAAGGACATGGAGGTGTCCATGCGCGGCGAGTTGAGATCGCCATTTCTCATGCACACACTGCTTAGTTGGGACAAGAGCTGTCGTGAGGCCGTCGCTGAAGTGTTTGAGGCGTCACTTCATCTCGACCTCGCGGAGTAGTGTCTCAAAGGCGCTCATCACTCGTTCACCTACTGGCACAACAGGACAGTACTTTGTTGTCCGCAGCAAGTGAATGAAGGTATTCACCCTGCGTGCTGTAAAGCTGAAGGCAGGACATAATGCAGTCGAGCTCGTCGAGGTGAGAAAAACTGCCGGGAATCGATTGGGCTATATTTACTCGACATCACCAGGGCAAGTGATGTCCAAAGAATCCACGAGCACGAACGGGGGAGTCCATGTCACGACCGAGATGCTGATGCATGCGAGCAAGACGACGTTGGCAAAGGGCGAGTCCACGGAGCATTACCTCCACCGCATCACGCACCTCACTCTCAACAACAAGAAGCTGACTAGCATGACCAACTTGCACCGATGTACCAACGTCAAGGTTGTGCGTGTCCTCCGTCAACGCGCCTCACTCTTGACGACACGTAGGTACTGTACATGTACGACAACAAGATCGCAAGCATCGACGCGACTCTATCATCGCTTCGGCACTTGACGCACGTCCATCTCCAGCGCAATCGCATCTCAAAGATCGAGCACTTCGACGCCCTCGTCCACCTCGAGAAACTGTGCGGTCTCGTCACTGTCTTGACGACTTATCCTGCATGACGGGCGTAGGTATTTGGACGGCAATCAAATATCCCGCCTTGAAGGCCTGGCCAACTGCACGTCGCTGCAAGAGCTGCACTTGTCCAACCAGGTGGCGGCACCTTCCTCGGGCGACGAGTTTACGTTTGACGAGGATTCGATCATGACGTTGCGGGTGCGTCCACGAATCGCGGTGCTCATTCGCGGTGATCCGTCGAGTAGCATTCCCTGCGCATCTTGCATGCGGCCAACTGCAACATCCGCAACCCCGCACCGATCCAAGCGCTCGGCCGCCTCGAGTTGTTGGATCTGTCGCGGAACCACATTCGTGGCGTCGACGTCGGTGGAGAGGACTGTCCATCCGAAACGAGTTGTGTGACGGCGACAGTGTAGGCGGTGTATGGCCTCGTCGGCAACTTGCGTCGGTTGAAAGACTTGAATTTGACCAACAACCACGTGAATGCAACCCCCAAGTACCGCGACAACACGATCATATTCTCCCATGCGAGCTTGGGTACAGCGCGTGCCGAACGCGGCCCTCTACTATGCCTGAGCTGTCGGTAGCTGTCCTGGACACCAAGCCCATCGACGCCAACCAGCGCGCGACCATGCAATCCCACATGGCGTTCAAACACAAGTACGTGTGGTGGCTATTCCAGACGTTGTTGGGGTGCTCGTCCCATCGCATGTGCGCAGAAAACGCCTCGCCACGGCATCGTCCATCAAGACCAAGATCGACGCGTTCCAAGTCCACGGCAGCAACACGTGGGTCGGCGGGTCTCCGAACCAAGACCAGTGACACGTCGTGGAAATCTATCAACGAGCGCGTGTTTCAACGTCGTTTTACTGCTTGGTAAACTTGGACGGGTAAGGCTTGGCGATGTATTCTGCGATGAGCACCGCGTTGAGCGCTGCTCCTCGGAGCAATTGGTCGCCCGACACAAACAGATCGAGCCCATGGTCGTCAAACACAACGCTTTGGCGGATGCGGCCGACTTCGACGTTGTACTTGGCAGTCGCGTTCAGAGGCATGGGGTACACTTTGTTGGCCGGGTCGTCGACAAGGTCGACGCCATCGGCTTGGCGCAGCAGTTCCCTAGAGATTTGGACCACATACATAAGACACACGCCGATGCATGGAGAGTACCGCGCGGCGTCGGCGGTGATGGGGCGCGCCGTTTGAATCGTAATGGCCTCCGAGTGCGCGCGAAGGATCGGAATGCGCACGGCCGTGCAGCTGATCTTCATGGTTGACTCGCCAAAGATCTTGTTTGTTTCCCACGTTACTTTCATCTCTTCCTTCGTATACCCGTTGGGCTGAAACGCATCGATGTGGGGAATCACGTTGAACGCCAACGGGTGGGCAAACACCGCGTTCGACGGCGCCGCGCCGTTCAGCGATGCCTTTGTCGACTCGATCAGCTCGGTCATGCCTTCGATGCCTGCGCCGCTGGCTGCTTGGTACGTGCTCACAATCATCTTTTCAATCTTGAAATGGCAATGAAGCGGCCACAACGCCATGGCCGCGACTGCCGTCGTGCAGTTCGGGTTAGCAATCAATCGACGTGATCCAATCGTATCGCCGTTGATTTCAGGAATCACGAGCGGGACATGCGCTTCCATACGGAACGCAGACGAGTTGTCGATGACAATCGCCCCGCCTGGCGCGGCAATCGCCTCGGCATGTTCCAATGCAAACGAGCCCGACACTGCAAGGAACACGTAGTCCATTACCCGCGCCGCGTCCACAGAGAACAACTTGACGGTCAACGGACCATACGGCGTCTCGACAGTCTTTCCGGCCGATCGCTCCGACGCAAACAAGTGCACGCTGCCAAGAGCGAATTTCCGGTCGAACAACACGCTCAAGATCTCCTTGCCCACGGCACCGGTCGCACCAACAATACCGATCTATCTCCTCGGGTTGAAACATCAGACTCCTTGAAGGGCTTGTGCATCGGGTCATGCACAAAGCGGACCGTTATCTCACCTGCGCCATCGCTCCGCGGAATTCAAAATGGATCACCTAGGCAGTCGGCCAAAATATATATTTATCGTTGTGGGATGTATATTTTGACGCTATTTTGAACGGTTGAAAATCCCATCAATTCACCAATCGCCCTTAAAAATGAAGCAAAATTACTCCAATATTTTGGAAATTGATGTGAAATCCACCAAAGTTTCGTCTGTCGTCGACAGCGGAATATTTCTAAAATGACCAGAATAGATAACTGGGACATCCAGCTGGTTGCGCCGACGGCATGAAGCAAGTTCTCATGGTTGACGAAGAAAGCAGCAGGCGATGGAGGAGTTTGCTGCATGGAGACCTTCACGAAGGCAGGACACGTCTGGCATCCCCTTCCCACGGGTACATGGTCTGTGTAGTCTTGAATTGCGGGTCGATCGTCGGCCACGCGGCTTGCACAATGCGGCGGATGTCGTCGAGTGTGCGGGACTGGTCTCTCTTCACGTGTGTATCCACATCCACGGCCGGCATCGATTCGATGCGCAAGAGGTCGTTCTTGTTGGTCGCGTGGCGTCTCGGCGTCACATGCACCGCGATGCTTCCGTAGGGATTGATGAACCCGAACGATGGAGTGGCCGTGAGCCCGCAGTTGCTCTTGATCTTGTACATGAGGGTGTTGGACGGCGACGTGTTAGTCAAAACGAGCGATGCCCCGTGGGCCTGCCGTCGTGTCAAGCAGGAGAGACTACCACGGTGCTCCCGCCTCCTTTTGTCGTCATCTGTCTGTTGGCTCCTGTCGAGATGGTGTTGCAGAACACTCGTGTCCAAGCACGCCAGACGCGAGCAGTGGACTTTGCAATGCACCATCGAATGCTGTACCGATGATGGAAGCGCTTTCTCCCACAGCGTTATCTGCACCCGATGCTGCTCACAGTAGTCCAAGTATTCCAGTTGATCTACTACTGCATCGGTGGCGAAGATCATCTCCAGTCGGAACGCGTGCTCAATAGTTGTTGAGGAATGGAGCGGCATGGCCTCCAGCACAGATGCGGGCGCGGCGGCCGCCACTTCCACGACGATCGGGAGCGATTCATTTGGGCGCAGAATGCCTTGGTTGGGAGTAATGGCGTACCAAGACCTGCACTTGCTCGGAACTTTGAGTTTGTACACGATGTGTCGGCTCGGAGACGAATTAACCAGCGTGATCGTGTGTTTGTCGCCCAAGATGTTGCCGTCCAACGTGAAGTTGGAGGAAGGGAGGATTGACACGCACGTCGGCGGTACCAACCATGATTCGTCTACCGTCAGCGTCCACGCCGTGTTGGTGGACGAGTCGACGGACATGCGACGACCCTGCATGGACGTACGTGTTGAGATAGTTGACTTGCACTTGACGCCTGCATGTGGCCCTGTGGTCCATGTCGAAGATGCAAAGGACGAGCGCTGATGCAGCGTCCACGTCGACGACGGCTGGGACGAACCCAAGGACGACAGACCCGACTGGTTGGCATTCCGCCGCGATATTGCGTCCAGGTCGTCTAATGTGATGGAGAACGCGTCCTCCTGGTGGAGAAGATCGTCGATCGTGATGCACTTGGCGGCCATCCTCGTCGCGGCGGGATCGTGTTGTGTTATGTCGCGTGTTGATTACTCATGGGTGTGCCCCACATTATCCGGACAAGTTTACCCACCAAGCAATATTGAATGGATTCATCGACGGAGTATACAAATAACAAGTTATTCAATTGCAATGTCGAATTAAATTGAGGAGACCACCACCATGCCTCTGCACAATTGATAATCCTTCAGTATTTCATACGCACCTGACTCACCGAGTGCGTTGAGCGCTCCACCACTCTTGCTCTGGACAGCCTCTGAATCTAGCCCCCATGACTATGCGATCCAAAAGAATAGAATTTGCTCCGGTCCAAGGACGGCAGCCTCGTGTGGCCGATGTGGATTGGGGCATTAGGATCAACTGATCCGAACGTGCTCCAAATTTTCGCCATCGCCAGGTGGATCTATGCAAAACCGTGTGAACTGTATATTGTTCAGACAGTCGCGGGACCTTTTATCCGTACAAGTGTGTTTCGGATAATAGAAACACTGTCCAAGCTGTCAACCTAATCTTATTAGATATCAGGCACAATCATATCAAAGAGGTATCCGACTTTACAGGGAATCGTCAGAAAAAATAACATACAAATTGCAAGATAATATTAATTATCTATAGTATCACAAGCTCAGATACATCGTCATCGTTGATATCATGTGGTGGATCAATGGTGTCTTCGATCGCCATGTTCGCGGCCAGGTCGGCAATGTCATTTTCTTCCAACGCACTCTCCACCACATCAACTTGATCGACAACGGCGCCATCAAGGAGCTGGCACTTGCGGAAACCGTTCAGAATCACGGCCTCAGGTAAGACGTTCCACGCACCCGTGATCCACGCCACCATAGTTGACCTTGACGGACCTTGAAGCTTCAGGCTATCGTTTGCAGCCGGACAATTACGCACTTGCCGATGGATCTCCACAAGCCATCGTTCCCGTAGCGAAAACTTCAGCGGCCGGATCCACGCAACGTCCGCAGGTTGACAGCACCAGGTAAAGCGAGGAGGAACGCGCTCGAAGAAAACGTTGATGGACTCTGCATAGGCAACAACGTCGTCCGTAAAATGCGCACTGAAGTCGTCCCACAAGAGGATAACCTTCTTTGTGTCGCGACCTTCTCGTTCCGCAAAATGGTACTTCAAGAACGCCAACTACAGCTCCGAGTTCTACCATGCTGTAGGGTTGGCGTAGATCCGGCAGCCATGGCGCGCCTGAAGCGGCTTGACTTACCGAACCCCTGCCGCAAGGTGAGATTCTCCTGAACCATATCCTTTTTCGTTGACTTCGACGTCTTCATCACCAGAAACAAGGTATGCTTCTTCCCTGTGGTGACGGCAAGGAGCATGGCAGATGCTCTGTCTTTCGTCTTGCCACCGCACTTGCCCCACACGGTGTTGTCCTTGGTTGGGTTCAGCGTCTTCGTCGGCATGTACTTATAGTTTACGCCGGTCTGATCGGCATTGTAGATGACACCGACGTCATTGACTACAGCGGAGAGCAAGACGCGTTCCGAAAACGCAGCAAGGATTGACGTTCCGTCTTTGTTAGTATCTTGTCCGATTCGCGTCTTTGCACGGAAGGAGAGTCCGTGGCGCCGTTTGAAGCCGTGGATCCTATGCCACCCGGCCTTGAATTCATCTTCGGTCTTCGGTAAGCCCCACGTCAATTGCTGTCTCGAGTGCCATGAGATGAAGCATGTAGTAGGTCACCGGGATACCGTCCTTCCGCATGTCATGGACCCATCGGGCCAGTTGAGTTTCATCTTCAGCTGGCAGCGTGGTTCCAGTCCCGACAGCACGACACATTTCTGGTTGGAAGTGCGAGCAGTCTTAGCCAATCGAAGGATGTGGTCTTTACGAATGCTTAATCCAACCATATACTTTCTTTCTAGTTGACTCGCGTTCGGTGAAGGATGAGTCAACACAGTAGACATCGAGAAAGGCAGACATCCCAACCTCTGCCACCTGATGGATTGCATTCATTTTGTGCTCGTAATCGACAGTCTTGTACTTGAACAGTCGCGCTCGTGCCTTTTCCCCGTACTTTGACACGGGCCGGGTAGTTTTCGCGTCTAAAACAACACATCTTTGGGGGAGATGTCGACCACCAAAGTCCGTTGGTGATGTCGTTAGAGAACCAAACAACCCGCCCATGGTACATTTTGCAATTTTGCGTGCGCTGGCAAGTGTGAATGCATTGCCCTACACCGGATATGAACTGTGTGTGGACTGGGGATGCAAATACAGTGCTTCCCACCGAGTCCGCGACCACGATCGTCCGAAAGCACCTTCGACTTGACGAACGTCGTGCTGCATACGAAATGCTTCTGGAGGTGTCCCACGAAGGGGAACTACCTCGTGGGTACCTCAAGAAGACAGCAAACATGTTTGGCTGTCATTGGCGGACGATGTTGCGACTGTGGAGTCGTGGTAGCTCGTCGATCCGTCAAGGGTGCCTCGTCGCCGATGTCGCGTCAAAGTTGCGTGGTAAACCTCCCAAAATCAATATACTATCATTTATTATCAAAACCATTATGTTTAACAAGAGAACTCATATTAGGGAACTCAGGACGAAAACGAAAACGCACCGCGGAAGAAATTGAAGCGGCAATCCGCCAAGTTCCACACGACCGCCGCCAGACCTTGCGCTCACTTGCCCATGCATGCCAAATCCCCAAGACTACCATCGTCAATCACATCAAGGATTTTTCAACTCTCAAGGCCCGCTCAAGCTACGTCAAGCCGTTCCTGACGCCGGCCAACCAAGACGCTCGGTTGAAGTT